GACCCAAGACATTATGCTCAATTAATATTTGACAAAGGTGGCAAGAGCATACAGTGGAGTAAAGAAAGCCTCTTTAATAAATGGTTTTGGGAAATTTGTACAGCTACATGCAAAAAAAAATGAAACTAGACTATCAACTTACACCATACACAAGAATAAACTCAAAATGGATAAAAGACTTAAATGTGACTCATGAATCCATAAAAATCCTAGAAGAAAATGTAGACAACAAAGTTTCAGACATCATACACAGCAGAATTTTCACTGATACATCACCTAAGGCAACAGAAACAAAGGGAAAAATGAACAGATGGCACTCCATCAAACTAAAAACCTTCTGCACAGCAAAAGAAACAACCATCAAAATGTAAAGGGCCCTGACCGGTTTGGCTGAGCTGTTAGAACGCAGCCTGTGGACCAGAGAGAGTTTGGTTTCCGCTAAGGGCATGTACCTTGGTTGCAGTTTGTCCCTGGCCCTGGTTGAGGCTGTGTGGGTAGCAACCAGTCAATGTGTCTCTCTCACATTGATGTTTCTCTGTCTCTCATGCCCCCTCTTTCCCTCTCGCTCTATCTGAAGATAAATGCAAAAAACGTCTTTGGGTGAGGATAAAAAAAAAATGTAAAGGGAACCCACTGTATGGGAGAGCATAATTGCCAATGATACATTAGATAAGGGGTTAATTTCCAAAATATATAGAGTCCTCATACAACTCAACAAAAGGAATACAATGAATCCAATAAAAAAACTGGCAGAGGAACTACATAGACACTTCTCCAAACAGGACATACAAATGGCCAAGAGACATATGAAGAAATGCTTAACATCACTAATCATCAGAGAGATGCAAATTAAAACAACAATGAGGTATCACCTCTCACCTGACGGAATGGCCACCATCAACAAATCATCAAATAACAAGTGTTGACGAGGGTGTGGAGAAAAGGGGACTCTAGTACACTGCTGGTGGGAATGCAGACTGGAAAACACTATGGTGTTACCTCAAAAAATTAAAAATTGAATTGCCATTTGACCCAGGGATCTCACTTCTAGGAATATACCCTGAGAAGCCTGAAACACCAGTCAGGAAGAATACATATGTACCACCATGTTCATAGCAGCACTATTTACAATAGCTAAGATCTGGAAACAGCCCAAGTGTCCATCAGTAGATGAATGGATAAAAAAGCATTGGTACATATACAAAATTGAGTACTATGCAGCTGTAAGAAAGAAAGATCTCATCCTTTGAGATGACATGTTATTATCCTAACAAAACAAGCCAAGCAGAGAAAGACAAATATCGCATGATCTCAGTTATTTGTGGAATATAATGAACATAACAGTCTGAGGAACAGGGTAGACCCAGAGACATGGAAGTAGGTTACAGACTGGCAGCCCTCAGAAGAGGGGGTGGGGGGAGGAAAGAGATGTACACATAACCGGTGGACATGGACAACAAAGCTGGGGATGATGGGGTGGGGCGGGGGGAGGGTGTAATGGAGGAAAAAGGAGAAACATCTGTAACAAAAATAAATTAATAAAAAAAAAGATTATAAACCTCATCACCCAGACTACTGTATGGGAGATGCTTTTCTCTTGAAGTCTATAGTACTCTGACCAATCTAGAAATAGGAAAAGAAGAAGACAAGAAAAATGTAATAAAACACCCCAAACAAAAGTTAAAGCTAATTGTAGGGTATAAACAATAGATTTGAGTGCCACTAATATTTGTGATCATCTATAACCACATACTCTATTTGGATAAAATAAATGTTGACAATTCTAGAATCCCTACAACTAGGTTGAAATGTCTGTTTGGATAGACAGATACAGATGTATAATATACATATATAACATAATATGTAATATATTACATATATAACATGTATAAAAACATTTTTGTTTATGGAGAGGATTTCCTCAGGCTCCAAATATGATTCGTGATGTAAAAGAAATGAATAAACAAATGGATAAGTAGTTTATTCATTTCTTATTTTACATATTAATTTTCTTTCAGCAGTATTTAGTGAATGTCTACCATGTGTAGTCATTCTTCAGGTACTTGGGGACATAGCAGTGGGTATATCACACGAAACTGCCTGCCTTCATGAAGCTTATGTTTAGGCAGAAGGAGAAATAAGCAAAATAAGTAAGTAATTTTATAGGACACAAAATGATGATAAATTTGATAAAGAAAAGAAGAGGGATAAGAACATTGAGAGATTGATTATTAATTGATAAGCATGAAAAGCCACGTTGAAAGGTTTAATTTGAACAAAATCTGAAAAGGAAAGGGAGAGTCTTGAGTCTATTTGAGGTAGGAGGTTCCAGGCAAAAGGAACAAGAATGAAAATGCCTTGGGGCGGGAGTGTGGGTAGTGGGTTAGGAAAGAGCAAGCGGGTCAGTGTGCCTGGAGCGCAGTGAGGCCTGGGGGTGGGCGAGCAGCAGGTCAGAGTGGCAATAGGGGTCACATCAAGTGCCTTAGCATCATTGCACACACCTTGGCTTCTACGTGGAGCGAACTAGGAAGCCTTTGGAAGATTCTGAACAGAGGTGTGCTATGGTCTGACCTACTCTGAAGACAGAACCATCAGGACTTTCTGGTGGATTGGGAGTGAGAGAAGGAAGGAGTCAAGGATGACCCCAGTGTTTGACTTGAGCAACTGGGAAGACTCAATCCCATTAGGTGCTTTGAGGAAGACCAAGGGGCAGGTGTCTGAGTATACTGGGAGTTGGGCCATGAAAGAGGGCCCATAGAGAATAACAGAATCTTAGTTTGGGACATTTGGGACATGATATATTTGAGAAACCTATTGGATGTCTAGACGGGAGCTTCTGAAGAGGAAGTTTAGACAGACAAGCATGGAATTTAAGGGAGAGGAAAGGCTGGAAAGATACATTTGTGACCTTCAGTATAACAGGCGAGTTATTCTGAGATTTCCATGCGCACGAATGTGGGTAGAATAGAGAAAAGCTGAAGGCTGGAGTGCTGGGCACTCCAGCAAAGGAGACTGAGAAGAAGTGACCATTCTGGGATGAGGACAATCGGGAGAACGTGGCACAGGAGTGACAGGGCGAAAGCATTCAAGGAGTAGTCAACAGTTGAAATGCTGCTGGTAAATACTTTGAAAATGAGTAATCAATTATTGTGCCTTTAGCAGCATGGAGATCATTGGTGGTCTTTAAGAAGAGCAGTTTTGGTGGAATGGGGGAGGCAAAGCCTGATGGGAGTGGGTCTGTGGAAAAATGGACACAGGGACAACGGAGAGGGGGGAAGTTGAACATTAGCTGGGACAGGGATGTGCGGGCAAGAGAGAGCTGTCACGATGAGGGGCCTAACAGCATGCATACGTGCCAGTGAGAACGAGATGGAGACTGAATCCCAGGAAAGGGGAGAAATGATGGAGTGGATTTTTTGAGGATGAGAGGGCGTTGATAATGCGTAAGAGGAGAGAATGACCTTTGCTAGGACCACAGATGTTTCATCCAAATGAATAGGAGGGAAGGCACTAATATATTTATACAGATGTAGGTAGTGGGCAGTAAGAACCTAGGAGAAATATTCTTCTGATTGTTTTTGTTTCCTCAAAAAAAAAAAAAAAAAATAGAGCAAGGTCATTAGCTGTAAAGGTGGATGGGAGCAAGGTTTCAGTAGAGACAAGCAGTTTTGAAATAGTCATCTGGGGGAGTGAGAGAGGAGAGGAATGAGAAAATATAATGACTGGATAATAGTGAAAGTCCACTAAATGGCAGGGGTCATGAATTTGAATGGTAATCAGTGAGCACAGCTGTAAACTTATAGATACACACATGCATGTCACACATGCATGTCATCCTGCAGGTAGGCAGGGAGAGTGGTTCATTAATATACATGTACTGAATGTCTACCTGACAACTGGCATTGTGTTCGGTGTAAAGAACACAGGGGTGAGTGAATACAATATGTTTATTACTGTCTCCTTCCTTAATGAAGCTTTACAATAGGTATGACAGATCCATGAATATGTGAGCAGAACATGCAAAGCAAAAAATAGTGCTCAGGTTCATGGAACCTTGGACATGAAGGGGAACCATCAGAGGGACTCAGCATTTTAGGTGGATCTTGCCCTGCCCTGCAGAAGGTGGATTTGCAGTGGAGATTGGAGGTTGGAGGCAGGGACCTCACTTAGGAGCTGAATGGAAGACCAAGTGTGGCGTATTGGACTTTCCATCTGAAGTCGGGATGATGCTCATAGGGATGGAGGAAACAAGAATAGATTTGAGAAAATTGTTAGGGTTGATGATGTGTTTGGAATGTGGAAGCTGATGCCTCTGATCTTTACCTCATTGCTTGACTAGAGAAAACTTCCCTAGCCTGGGCCTGACATTTCAGAAATGTGTCATTGGCCCCAGAGGAAGCATGGTGGAATAGTATGAACGGATTCCAAACTGTGTTAACATCAGTGCAGTATGTACTATTTTCATGGGAGGTTAGTAGTCTGAATAAAAAACTGGCCTATATAGTTATTTGTCTATATTAAATAAATGCATGTGATTTGTTAAAAATTAAGAGAATTAAAAGCAAAAAGATATATTTTGTATTGTTTTACATCTTAGGGAAAATACTATTTTCCATTTTACTTAGTAAAGTTTGGATGGTTAATGGAATGATGATACAGTTACGAGTTTTCAGGAGGAATAATGCTCACACGAAGACAGAAATATCACTGTGTTGAGGAAAAATGGGTGGATCAGAGAAGAGTCACATAGAAGACCTTGGCTGTATGTCTAGTTCTTCCATTGGGTAGGATACTTCACTTCTTGGTGACCTAGTGTATGTGAATGGATGTCCTGCCATATATCTTAGGATTATTGTAGGGATTCAGTATTTATGGGTAAAAACACTTTGATAACTTTGATGAATGTGTATGTGCACTTATTTGTCAAAGGGCAGAAGGTGGTTTATTGAAACTGAGATACTCACTACAATCCCTACCCCCTTTCTTTTCTACTTGTACAGTGTAAAGAACACGACCTGGCCATGATTAACCAGTTGCTGGATGATCCGAAGCTGACAGCCAGAAAGTACAGGGAGTGGAAGGTCATGAACACCCTGCTGATTCAGGACATCTATCATCAGCAACAGGATGACTCATCTGCCCCCGAGGGCACCCCCTAGGGACTTGAGAAACCACCTTCCTCTGCCTCTGTTGGAAATTCTATTTGAGAACAAGCCAGAATTGTGTTTCCTTCTTTCCCTAAGCAACTCTTAAGATGTTGGAAGAGCTTACATTTGTCCTTAAAAGGAAAACCAGGACCCATTACTCAACATCATCTCCCCATAAAAGTGCATTCTGGGTGAGGATCACACCAATAGCAGCAGGACTCCTTCCAGGTGTGGCGTTCCCATGGAGACTGGAGTGACGACGTCCAGTTGAACAGCCTCGTGTTCCTGTAGGGAGCTCACAGTGATGCCAGGCTCTAGGTGGGATGTAAGAACTCCCATCTTCTGTCCTTGCTCTCGAGAGAATTACAACATTCTGTGGACAAGGGATCACTTTTTACCAAGGATAATCATTCCTAGAAATACTCAGTTTTCCAAAAGGAGAAGGTACATACATATTCTACCTGGTTGGGTAGCTGAGTTCTCCAAATCATTTTGTTGGGTGAAGGAATATGTTCTCCAGCAGCAACTAGAGCCGCGCAAATGTTTCTGTGAGACTGAAATCCCCTGCCCGAGGTCCAGAATAGTGGTGCCTTTTCCATGAGTGGAGAGGCAAGTCATAGCAAGTGGGGGAGGGGGGACCCAAGGAGGGGGTGTGTTCTGTATTCCCCTCACTCAAAGGACAGCGTAATAGTGTCACACTTCACCCAGCTGGGGGTGGGGTGGGATCTATTATGTTTCCTTTCCACAGAGCAGCTAAAGAAAATGTCTCCTTGCACTTGGAAGCCAGCGTTTCTGAGTCACTGGAGGAGGTAGTAACAGATTCAGCAAGGAGCGTTTGCGACTGCGCTCGGGGGTGTGCCCACGCACAGTGCAAATTCATATCTAAATTCCCTAGGATAAATATGGATGCGATGATTCTGCTATCAACATTGTTTAAATATCTTTACCTGAAAAACAAAAAAAACAAAAAAACAAAAGAGTTAAAACCAGATTGTTTTATTTTTGTATATGTCCCTTTGTGTCCTATGTGAATAGCCATCTGTATTATGTTTGTTATTTAAGTATATTTATAGAAAGTCAAATTACTAGTGTTTTAAAAGACGATATACTAGTTTATGTTTTGCTCAGTATATATTCTCAAAGGATATACGTTTTTGCTTGAGAAAAAGAGAAATACTATTGATGATTCATTCATTGGAGTTATTATAGAGTATAATGTATGAGGAATGCTCAGGAAATCTTGTGGGGTAAATATGGGGGCATGCAATAACAATCTTTCACTTTCTGGTCTCTCTCTCTCTCTCTCTCTCTCTCTCTGTCTCTTCCTCCCTCCCTGCAGAGGGCTTACACTTCTCTGTTTTAACTTAGTCTTAACCAGAAATGGACTTTCACCTTACATTATCCCTTTTGGTAAATATTTTATGCTATTTATGCCCTAAACCAAATGAAACACAACTAATGTAGTCTTTTGTCTAAAGACTGATAGAAATTTAGGGGTCTTTTGTTAAAGAGAACTGATTTTGTTAGAGAAGCAATATTAAAGTTTTTCCTTACTAATCATGACTATTTCTCACCACAAAAATAACTACAACCCACCAAAAACCCACTTTGGCCCCACGCCTAGCAAACTGTTGACGTAACGGTTTTCTGGGTGCAGTGAAAGCATGGCTTGACATTTGAATGGAAACAACCCCTGAATTTTATCTGCAGACTACATGGAAAGGAAATAGTTGATGAATATTTCCCCAAGCTTTACTAAGACGTCTTAATACTTGGCAAACACAAAACAACCTAAGCATTAGGGAAGAACAAGAAAAAGCAAACGAGGAAGCAACTTGTAGTGCTAGAAGCTTGTATGAGCCAAGAGGCCAGGTCAGTTGGTTTGGCCCATCAGACTCTTCAGAGCTCCCACACCAAGAGGAATGTGCTGGCCAAGGCCACGGGCCACACACCAGAGGAGGCCTGACCTGCAGTGACGGTTGGCACCAGAGAGAAGTAACCATTCATGTCCTCAGATTGGGACCTGAAGCTTCTGGCTTGAGAGGCCAATGCTTTTATCTCTAGAAAGGATCAGTTTGCAGCCAATACAATGTTGATGATGTGGGATTCACAATGTCAACAAGTCTTGAGGGAAGGAGAATGAATGGAGGAAGTACGTGGAGTTCTTTCACCTCGTTCTCTGGTTCCCAGCACCAGCCTATACATTTCAAGATTTTTTTTTTCAAAATTGAAGTCAACCAAACACTTTTGACTAGGGCTTGGGGTATATTTCCATGTCTAACTTTGGCTTTTCATTGATACATATTTCACGGACCCTTTAGTACAAATTTAGAACCACCCAGGCAGATTAGGCCCATGAGATGATTTAATCAAGCCTTTCCGTTGTTTTTCAGAGTCAGGTTCATCCAGAGGTATTTGCTTTGTTAGGTAAAGCAGCTACTTTGCAGAACGCCCCAAATGGAAGTTAAACTGGACTGGGCCATTTTGCACCCTGCTCTCCTGGACCAAGGTCACTGTAAAGGGAGACTGTTCTACTCCCTCCTGTAGACATAGGGTCCGAGGGCTGTGGATTGTGGCCGTTGAGAACCTGTGGCACCTCCTATGGATTAGGGTCTGGATCAGACTCCTCCCTGGGGTTGTGGGAGGACCACTTCTCACTATTGTGAGTCTGGAGACCCAAACTGCTGCCTGATTCACATACCCTCCTCACTGCTGACACGCGGCAGCACAGGCTAAATCAGATGGTCCCACACTTGGGTCCGATTTTTTGCTTTAAATAATTCTTAGTTCTGCTACAATTCCAGCATAGCATCAAAGGCCTAGAAAGAATCATAGAGCATATTTTTGTAGAGACCCCCGGAAGTCTAGAAAAGAACTTATGTTTGGAGTGAGATTTCAGTGTGAAATCAATGCCTTGTATTTACGTAGCACTTTATAAACTGTGTGTTTCAGGCTCCCCCTCCCCCTCCCAGTGGTCTTTATGGGATGCTGGCGATGGCTACTACTCCTTTTGAAGGAGGAAGGAAACAAGCTCTGAAAAGTGAGGTGCTGGGGAGAGCCCCAGATGGTACAGCCAGGGCTCAAACTTGTTCCTCCCTCTCTAACTTGTGCAGTTGCTGTTGGGACCAAGTGTTGACTTGGCGTGTGCATGCCATTGTGCTGAAATGGGCACGTGCCCCTGATGGCTTTTGCAAAGTCATCCATTTGAACCCTGAGGGGCCTCTTTTCCTTAAACACAGTCTCTTCCTCATGACCCCACAGGTGCTGCCCCTCCTGGTGACCCGCTGACTCTTAATTGGGGTTTACCCTAATCACTCTGGGTTTCCTTTCCTTCCTTCTGAACAGGTAGCTGCTTGATAGGTGCTGTGAGATCCTTCAATGAAAGAGAGTTAAAGAAATGGAGTGTGTTTATTTTGTTTTCCTTTCAGAGAGTGTCAGGAGGTGTCAGAGACTGAGCTTAGTGACCAGGGGTCACTAGTCACTTCTCTCAATTCCTTCTCATGTAATTATGATGATAATTTCCTCAGAGAACCTTTAAATCGTAAATCATATCAGAGATGAAACATAAAATATACTTTTCAGTCTTTTAACGAGAGATGCCATTGAAAGGTAATATTTTGATACAGCCGCACAGATGTAGTGAGTAATTTAAGTACACAGGATGCTATGCAAAAGTTACTCTTTATTGAAAAGCCCCCATATCCAAGTGAAGGCTTAGGATGCATCCCTTCTCCGTCTGATAGAGTATGATATTTGATTGGGATTTTCTTACTTATTCCCCTTCCCGTTTTTTGTATACTTACCTCACAAGAGGAACCAAGCCCTGGAAATGTGAAGGGACTGCCCTGCCCAGGCTATCCCAACAGGGAGTTGAAAAGGTAAGCCCCTGAAACCAGATTTTAACCCATTTGAAATGGGCTGGGACGGGGCCGTTCCACCGCTCACGGTGCGACGTCCATCTCAGTGACCGAGATGCTGAACAGCTACAGGTTTCTCCATCTCAGTGACCGAGATACTGAACAGCTACGGTTTCTACATGGTGAGACAGGAAGCAACTTTCTCGGGTCCTCTGCACATCTTGACTCTTCCTCATATGACCACAGACCACAGAGAAAACATTGAACGTGAATTCTTGTTTAAAAAAAAAAAAAAAAGTTCTTCCATTTCTCTTGCTGGAGGAGACTTAACTGCTCTGTATTGATATTTCTTCGCCTTGAGTCTAAAGGGGAAGCATGCCCCATGGAGACGCTTAGCATCAGTACAAACCAAGATTATAAATCACCGTACGTGTGAATGTCCGTGCATGATGGGCATGTGGCTTTTAGAACTGCATGGTCTTTGGGGGCAAGATGTTACTGTGGAAATGACACCTTCAACTGCATTGTGCTTTCGTTCTCTGTCACCTACCCTCTTGGACTAAACACAGAAAGTGTCACAGCTCATTTCTCTTGCTTTCTGTTTTTGAGGTTGACTTGTAAGATAAAAATAAAAACAAGGTAAAATATATTTAGTAAAATTACATGGAAAAAATGTCAAAATATACTGCTGGTGTTTACTTTCTGCCTTGCACTGTGGTAGTCTCAAAAAAAAAAAAAAAAAAAAAAGTCTCCAGGAAATGTTTGATGGCTGGGTGTTAATCTTCGGCAAAGGTTTTAGCGCCCTCTGGTGCCAGTCATGAAAATAATAGATTTTAGACTTGATACTTTACTTATTAAATAAAAGATCTAATTCTGTTGGGAAATGTTTTTCAACAATAACTGATGTGGTCTCCTCCAGCGGTCCTCAGCTTACAGGTTTGTTATTACAGAGCTATTTATAGTTTTCAAAATTGTCGGTCCACACAATTTGACTTGCTTATTATATACCCCTTATCATTACTCAGCACCCATATCTTTTTTAGAGATTTAAAAACCTTATTCATATTATAAAAGTTACAACCTGTGGCACGTAAGTTACTTGAAATACATGAGTCATTTCTGTGAAAAGTAAACAAAGACAATATTGAACTAGCGTGATCATTTGCCTTTATTTTGGATGCACGGATCAGAGGAAGTTGGCTGCATTTGAACTTGGTTCACGCCTCCTTGATTGCTCTCTGCACAGGGTGTTGTTTGTCCTTCTCTCCCAGTTCTCACTTCATGCTCTGAGCTCCACCCTCTCTTGTCACCACCCCACAACCACAAATACAGTGTGTCTAGCCTCCCACATGGAAACAGCAAACATTTTTCAAGACTGAAGGCACTGGTATATTGTCTTCCTGGTTCCCAGAGCACCCCTGCACCAGTTTTCCTAGTCCTGCTGTGCCAAACCACCACCAGTTTAGCAACTTAAAAATATATGTTCTTATGGTGCTGGAGGTCAGCACTGTGACAGGTTTCATCGGCAGGACGGCGGCCCTTCTGGAGGCTGCAGGGAGAATGTATTCCCTTGCGCTCTCCCGGCCGCCCTCCTCTGCCTCTCGACCTCCTTCCTCCCTCTGCAAAGTCTGCAGTGCTGTGTCGCTGCACCTTCGCAGTGGATCTCAACCTGAGGGTCACGACCCCTTGGGGGGGGGTTGAACGACCCTTTCACAGAGGTCGCCTAAGACATAACAGTAGCAAAATTACAGTTATGAAGTAGCAAGGAAAATAATTTTATGGTTGGGGGTGGTCACCACAACATGAGAAACTGTATTAAAAGGTCGTGGCATTAGGAAGGTTGAGAACTTCTTAGAGACCCTTGTGATTACATTGGGCCCACCTGGGTAATTCGGAAAACTTCTGTTTTTTAAGATTAGCTGACCAGCAGCCTAGATTCAGTTTCCAACCTTGTCATTGCCCCTTGCCCTTCATTCCCCTGTAACATGAACACAGGTCTGGGCGGTAGGACATGTCCCTGATCCTGTCTACCGCAAATTTCCATTTCAAATATCCTGCTTAGTCCCCCAAACCACCAGTTTCTCCCAGAAATTCCAGGATTGCCAAGTTTTACCTACAGACACGAAAGGCCTTTGTCATACCATGCGGCTTGAACTGGATTTCATCGAAATGTGGGTCACCAGAGGAGCGGTGATTCTATCTTCATGAGTAGAAAAGCAAAAAAACAAAAAACAAAAAACTAGCTTTTAAAAGCATTCGTTCACAGGCATAACAGGCACAGTATTTTAATAATTGAATCAGGTTTTACAATGCTTGGAAGACAAAGCATTAGAAAGTCACCTTTAATAATCAAATATCATAAGAAAAGGATAGTCTAAACTTAAAAATCTTGAGTTTCTGAGCTACTCTGAGCCATATCAGACTGACCAAGGAGTTTTGGCCAAGTCTGTCTTTCTTCTTCCATAAGAGGAAGTATACAATTTCCACAGGTGCTCCTCCTGAACGTTACATCTGTCTTTTCTTTTTAAAAATCCAGCAAACCTGTATTCACAGGTAACCCTTCATGCTGTTCTCTTCATTTGTCCAGTCATGTATTTGAGGAAGCCACATACACTGCCAAGGTGGAAGGCTCTGCTGAGCATGTCTTGGCAGTTCTGTCCAGAGGGAGGAGACAAAATTCCCAGGCAAGCAGGGTGCCTGGGTGCTCGGCCAGTTATTATCCTCGTGCCAAAGGTTTCTGCTGTGGACGCTGTGGATGCCTGCCCAGACCTGTTCACCTGGCCAGAACTCAGCCCCCAGTGCCGTGAGGCTCTGCAGCTAACCACATTCCCCTTTTCCAGAAAATCGTCCTCAGCTAAATGAGAGCCAATTAGCCAGGAGTCTATGCGCTCCGTCTCCAGCCAGGTGGCCTTGATCAATGACTGGCTGAGGCCAGATGGCAGCACTTAACAGTTATAAACAAGGCAGAGTGACTGTACTGACAGCCCGGTCGAAAGGACAGCTTAGGGCTGGTGCTGTCCATGTGGATCTTTGGAGATTGCTAAGAGGAAGTGATGTTCCTAGAGACAGGACATACGGGAAGCCAACTATGTATACATATGATTGCTAGGGGAGATGGGATACAGGATTCAAATTGTTGCTGGTTCCTAGGAACCACCCCCCAATATTGTGGCCACTGTGTTAGGGTAGGACAGGGACATACACAGATAAAGTGACCCACATCCTCTGGCTTCTACGTGTATAATTGCAATGGCCATATTTAGCAGATGGAAGAAGGCTCGTGTTGGTTCTTTGATCAGTAATAGCAACTGCAGCAAGAGAAGGCAAAGACAAGCCCCTGAGGCTATCTCCTTCAGAAAAGAGAGTAAAAAGAAGCCAATATTGTATCCAAGGGGAATGGCAGAGGTTAGTGTTACCCTAAAAGACTTTTAGGTACAAGGGTAGTGGTTCCCACTTGTGCCTACACAATTTGCCAGTCTGGCTCCTGAAAAGCGAAGATGGATCATGGCAAACTACAGTGGATTCTTGAGAACTGAACCAAGTTATAACCGCACTGTAGCTGCTGTGTTGGACGCAGTATCTTTACCAGAGCAGATTACAGCCTCCAGTACATAGACTTTGGCTAGATAAGTGCATTCTTTGTCAATATCCATTGTGAGAGAGGATCAGAGGCATCTCATATTTATATACAATAGATGATAATACACAATTATGGTCTTGCCACAGGTCTATATAATTCTCCTGTGTGTGCCACAATATAGTCAGTGGGGACCTGGACCATTTGAACATTCCACAGAACATCACATTGGTTTACTAAATTGATGTTATCATGCACTAGACAATAGGAACATGATGAGCAAGAGCGACAAGTGCTCTGAAGGCTACAGTTAGACACAGATACTCCAGAAAGTGAGAGATGAATCCTACAAAGTTCAGGGGCCTGTAAGCCAGGGCATCTAATTCAAGGGACACCTTATTGTATGTTGCAGTTTTATCAGTAAGGAAGAAGCGTTTTGCTTGGTGGGCCTGTTCAAGTTTTCAAAGCAATAAACTCTGTATTTGGAAAGACTGTTCTGACTTCATTCAATGAGTGTCATGGGAAGCTCTCAGTTTTTAGTGGGACCCAAAAAAAGAAAGTACTCTGCAGCAGAAATGGACTGTGGTACAAGCAGTTCTGTTGCTTGGGCCGTGTGACTTAGCAGATCCCTTGATAGTAGAGACATATACATAAAAATGTAATGTAGAGTCTATGATAATTTCCAGTACGAGAGTTATAGCATAGATCCCTAGGGTTCTGGACCAATGCCATGCCATGTGCAACAAAGAGTCACCATTAAAAAATAGTTCATGGTATGCTATTTAGCCCTGGAAGACACTAACAATGGTAGAGTGTTTAACCATGGGCTGTCAGCTGGCTTTGGAGCCAGAACTAACCATCAACGGGTAGGTACTGTTAGATGTAAGTTTAGGGTGGTCCAGAAGCAATTCATTGTGAAATGGAAGTGGTACATCTGAGACTGAGCTTACGCAGCTCCACAGGGCACAAGAAAATTGCATGAACACATGACGCAAACACGTATGCACTTACTACCGCTACTGCATCATCACTTCTCCCTCAGTTCAAACATCTGACTTCATGGAGGAGGTCTCATTGTCAGGCAGAGGAAGAAAATGCTGGAACTTAGTTCAGTAATGAGTTGACTTGATATGTGAGTTCAAGCCAAAACTGGATTGCTACTGCTTGGTAGCCTCTCTATGGGTGAATCTGAAAGAGAGTGGTGAGTGGAAAACTTCTCAGAAGTCAGAGCCTCAGACAGTGCACCTGGTCGTTCACTGTGTGGAGAAAGAAGTGGCCAAAGGGACGTTAAGGACAAGGAGGTCTGGGGGAGAGGCTTGAGAAACTACCCACGGGACTGTGGACAACATGTGAGGATCTGATCTTTGTATCGAGTGTTAATCCACCATACAGCATCTAGTTCAGAAGAAGCACTAGAAACTTCTGTTCCATCATTACTTTATATAATTTTTATTGATTTTTATTTTTTATTTTTAGAAAGAGAGAGAGGGAGAGAAAGATAGAAATATTGATGTGAGAGAGATACATAGATCGGCTGTCTCCTGCACACCCCCTACTGGAGATCAAGTCCCCAACCTGGGCATGTGCCCTGACTAGGAATCGAACCAGGACCTCTCAATCCAGGGGATGACGCTCAATCCACTGAGCCACTCCGGCCGGGCTATCCCACCATCTCACTGACATTATTCCCCTCGTTCAGATTTTGATAGGAATTTCATTA